TGACTATATTTTTGTTTGTTTGCATTTCAAAAATTGCAGACACCAAAACATACAAAAGCGTAGGCGGTTAGTGGCAGAGAGGTGGAGGGGAGGGCGGTGGGTTGGATGCCCTCCTCATAGAGAGACATAAATTGGCATTTTGTCCAGCTGGAGCAGAAAATGCTTTTGTGTTTGTTATGAGGTCGTCCAGGCGGCATTTTGTGCCTGTTTGTCCACGGCTCAGAGCTCTTTTGCAGATTTATGCAGCCCCCGTTTCCAGAGACAGCAATTCATATGCCCTTATTTAAGACAAATTGAAATTTTAAATTAAAATGGAGCTTTTATCTTAAATGTGATACTCTAATAAATTTTTGAGAATTTTATTTTATAATGTTTTTAGCCTGAGTTCATTTGCATTATATAACTAATTAACTATAGTTGTAAAAAGAGTTGAGCCAAATTTGTTACAGAAAAGAGAAAGATATAGATATATATGCATATATAGATGTTCCGAATTTATTATACAATTTTTCATGTACAAAATGAATAATACAAAATTTAAAAAAAATATATATAAAAATTATAGTTAAAGAATACTGAATTTATCTCATTGGATAAATTACAACACATATTTATAAATACTTTTTGGGTATACATAAATAATTTAGAAAAAATAAATTAATTAAAGAATTATGTTTGGGATTGGTTGAATTTATTACAAATTTCAAGTAAACTATAAATTTAGTAAATAAATAAATAAAATATAAAAATATATATTTAAACATATATATGAATAAAAAGGGATAAAAATAAAAACATACAAAAAGGCATATACAATATATTTACATATGTGATTAAAACTGATCAGCATTTTATTTTTTTGTAATTATAAATTTTATTTCAATTTTAGCCATTTATTTAAAGTTTTTAGATATTGCAGACAATTGAGTTCGTGTCTTGCCTTGTTAATAATCAATGAATTAATGATTGCTAATCAAAAGTTAACACTGTGAGTTGCTAGTCTGTATTTGTGCATATTAGTATTTCTAGTAATTCTACTTTTTTACTAGATTATATTTCAGCAAAAGTCAATAGACCCATTGCAGCCCTTAGTCAATATGCTTTTGGCTCTAGGGCAAGAGTTCAGATTCGGTTTTTCGGCATTCTTGATGGGCAAACAATAAGTAGTTGGTAAATAGTTTATACAAGTGCCACGCCCCTGCCTCCACAGCCACCGCCACTGCCACTGCCACTAGCTGTGCCCTCAGTGTGCCATATCGTTAGAGTTTTCCTGCTGCTTTCATTGTTATGCGAAGTATGCACATTTTTGTGTACAAGCAAATGTACTTAGGACATGCTGGCGATTTATTTGACTTTTCTCACTGAACTACGCATACATACGTAGAGTGGCTCTGTGTGTGCGTGAGTGCGTGTGTGAGTGTGTCTGGCAAATTAACCCAGTCACGTACTCTGCTTAGCCGGGCCTAATCAAATAAACGCGTCAAATTAAACAACAGCCGCAAAGCCAACAACAACGGCAGCCACAACAATATCAAGGGGCGACAAGTAAATATATGAGTTTGACACCTCGATACCAGATTGTGCAGACAATGCATGACAGAGATGGCTAGAGAGAGAGTGAGAGGGAGAGGGAGAGGGAGAGGGAGAAGGAGAGTGAGAGAAAGATTGAGTGTGTGGTTTTCTGAGTAGCTTTATCCATATACATACATATATATTTATTTATACAATTACTTCAGCCAGCGCTCAACACTATGTCAGAATGTATTTTTTTTGTCCTCTCTGCTTAACAAAGGATAATTTCAGCTGCTTAGAGCGCTGTAAATCTAATAATATAATAAATAGATTATTTATTTCTATAGATTTTTACTATATATTTGAGCATTGCTTGTATGTAAGCCTATTCTAAGAACTTGCTTATATATTTATATTTATATACTTGTTTTTATCTCTAAAATAATAAATATTTATTATCATTATTTAAATAATTAAAAAAAAAATTAAATAAAATGAATTAAATCATTAATTAAATAAATGAAAGTATTTGCCATAGTTTTATTATTTTTTATAAAAAACGTAAATATTATTATTATTTATTGATTAATAACATTAATTATTTTAAAACGTATTTTAATTTGTTTGTTCCTAATTAACATTTTCTCTTCGATATGTTCTATAAATTTACTTTTGTTTCCGTTTTGAAATATAATGAAATATAAAATGTATTTTTCGGCTTCGTTGCATTAATTTTATTTCTATTTATTTTTATTGCGTTTTATTTCTCTACCTATGTATTTTTCCTGCGCTTCACATCATATTCAGAGACCACATTAGTTCCATATTTGATTCTCTACTTCATATTAAATTCACAGATCTCAACATTTTTTTATTTATTTGTCCACTTCTTTTTCCAGCTCTTCACATTTTATTCAAGGATTCCATTATTCCTCCACTTCTACTTGTCTAGCCTTTTTACCTGTTCTTCATATTATGTGCTTAAATTATGTGCATTCTCCTATTTATTTCTCTGCTTGTTTTCCTGCTCTTCACAGATCCATAAATATTTCCCTATTTAATCGTCTACGTCTTTTTCCCTGTTCTTCACAGATCTCCTCATACCCCCACCTCTATTTCCCCACCGTCTTTTCCTTCTCTTCACAATAGATTCCTTGTAATAAACTACCCATTTGTACACTTTTACAGGTCATCTCTCTCTCTCTCTCTCTCGCTCACGCCTTTCACTCTCAATTGGTGCTCGCCTATTGTTTTTGTTGATTTTAGTTGCGTGCGGTGTTGTCGCCGCTGATTAGTTGTTGCAACTGACGTCATATTAATTATGTGGCAGACACCCACACACACACACCCACACACACACACCCACACACTGGCACGCATACAGATTAAATGCGATTGGCTGGTGGCACAGATTCGATCGGAACTCAAATTGAGTGGCGGCGGCACAGTTTGAGTGCTGTTCGAGTGGCACACAGAGGGCGCTCGTGTGTCTGAATGGGACGGTTGAATGGTTGGGCACACTTGAGTGCCTTCTGGCCAAATGAGCCATCAGCCGACGAGCAGCTGCCACGCCAGAGTTGCGCCTCGGGCTGGGGCAATGTGCGTTGCCAACTTGTTTACATTTTGTTATTGTTGTTCGCGTTGTTGTTCGTGTTGCTGTTGTTGTTGTTGATTTTTTTTAACATTTTTGTTTACTAGACGGGCAGCACGTGCTGACAGAGCAACCCATCCGTTGCGCTCCAACCCAAAAGAGTATCTGCGCCGCTTCATCTGCCCCATCTGCTGCTGATGCTGATGCTGCTGCTGCTGATGCTTTGGGTATGCGGCAGTGCCTGAGGCATGCATATTTTATATGGCCATAAGCTGTAGAAGCTGTTGCCAGCTTTATCTCGGCCTCTGCCCCCATTGTGGCTCAGTCTCAGGTCGACACTAATCGCAATTGCTTGAAAAACTGGGCCAAGCGCACATCATTATTTTCTGGCTGCTTTTAGCCGTATTCTTGTTGCCGTTGTTGTTGTTGTCGTTTCTGTTTTTAGCGGTTGTTGCGTTTGCTGTCCTTTCTTTTGATTTTATTATTTATTTATATACTTTGGCGTATTCCCAAACTGCCGCACGTTAATTTCAATTTCTGTTGGCAAATGCAAATATCTCTTTAGATTTGCCATTTTCAATTTGCGTTTGTGGGCGTGGCACCCGGCCAGGTGGCATAATCAACAAGTCTCTTTTGTTGCGGCCTTAGCTTTTGGCCTTTGGCTTTGGACTCTCGCTTTCTGTGGCTCGCAAAATTGTGTCACTTTTATTGGTTTTTCTCTCTTATTGTTTTTTATTTTATTTTTTGTTTTAGGTACGCAATGTCTAAAAGTAAAAGTCTCAATTTAGTTGAACTGAAGCTTTAAGATTTGTCTAAGCTAAAATTCATATTTATTTCCTATTGGAAAAATCTTAATCAAAATTTAATTTCTATTAAATTTTTGTAATAAATTATGGATATATGAAAGTATGTAACTATTATTAAATATATTATAAGCTTAGCATACTTTTGGGTTGAATTTTAGAAATTTTAAAATAGGTTTGATATTTAATATTTTTTTAATCTTAATTTTACGATATATATAATATAAAACTAATATATACAAATATAAAAACTAATAATTAAACAATATATAATAATAAAAAAAAAATAAATAAATAAAAAAAAACATAAACTAATAAATAAAAATAATAATAATAAAACCTAAAAATATATAAAAAAATAAAAAAATTGATAAGTCAAAAATAATTAAATATATTTATACTATAAAAGTTAAAAAAAAAAAAAAAAATACAAAAAAATATAATATTAAAATTAAAAGTATCAAAAAATATAAATAAATTTCATTAAATTAACAAAATGACAGAAAATATGAAAAATCACAGAATTTTCGTCTTTCTAAAAATATTTTTATAATATTCATTATTTTTGTTGACTTTAGTTTTTCGATATATTTAAATACAAATATGTAAAATGCTTCAAAAAGTATGTATAATAATTTAATAAAATAGTCTAATTCCTTCTTAAAAAAAAATAAAAGTAAAAACTATATATATTATTTAATAGAAAATAATAAAAATAAATTGTACAAAAATTATAATAATTGTTTTTTTTATAATTAATTATTAATTTAAATTTTTAAATTAACCTTCCAACTAATTCTCTACTCTTTCTACTTTTTCCAGTATATATATTCTGCTGATTGCCAACCACAAATCGGTAAGTGCCTCACTTCTATTTATTAAAGTATATATTGCATATGTGTGTATATAGATATCTGAAATATATTTAGCTGCCTCAGCTATACTAATATTTATCTAGCAAAATTAAACCAACCCAAATTAAAGTCATGCTGACCAAAAGTTTCATTCACTAGGAATTCCAGCCTCAGCTGGAAAATCTCTTGCTCCAAGTAAAGAGAATAAAAGACGCCATGAAAGTGTTGCTTAAATAAAATACTTTTATTTATTTGTTTATTGCACAGAAAAGGCATCGCTTATTGTCTAAACAGTGACAAATCACACCCAGTTAAATATATATATGTCTATATATCTTTGCTTTAGTAAGACTTGTCCATTTCATTCGATCATTATTTTGGTTTATATTTGCTTAATATGCGAAAATTACGTGAGTGTGTGTGTGAGTGTGTGTAGGAGTGCGTGTGTGGTCGTTTGGTTCTCATGTTGATGACACGCCCACAATGCGTGACGCCCACACGTGGACATTATTAGACAAAAGGATGCCGCGTGCGCCGCTTGGCCTTGACGGGATAATCGTAACCCTCGAAATCATCATCGAGCTCATCCTGCTGCTGATGATAATGATGATGGCTATGACTGCTGCGATGATGCTTCTTTGGCTCCTTGTGCTCCTTGACCGGCACCGGGATGGGCAACGGCACCTTCTTTATCACCGTGTTCGTGTGCACATGCGTATGATGCTTCACTGGCACATGGATGCGTATCCTGCGAATTGTCAATTGTGAATGTGAGTGTGTGTGTGATTGTGAATAAAAACAGGATTCAGTTGGAGTCAGGACTTGCGCTTGGCTTTGACATTGGTTTTGGGTTTGGGGGGCTTTGGGTTCTCTGTTGTTTGTGGAGCTGTCGTTAAAGGCGTGGCCGTTACACTTACTTAAGCTTGTCGTTTGATGGATGGCCGCTTGTCAGGGCAAACATCATGCAAGTGATAAACAGCAAACTTAATGCCTGCAAAAAAAGAGAGAAACAGAACACACACACACACACAAGTGCATAAGTGAAAATGAACAGGAAGAGCGTGTACATGTGTGTGTGTGTGTGCGTGTGCGTGTGTGGGAAGCAGTTGATTAGGGTTTCTTGGTATGAGCATTCGATGTGCCTAATAGCTTCAGGGGACATATATGATGTATTTAACATTTTAGCTTTTGGTTTATGGCTGTAGCGAATGCTATACTTAAGTGAATATATTTTAGCAAGACACTAAAATGGATTTTAGAATTAATTTTATAGCAACAAATCTCTTTAAAGAATTTATATATATTAAAGTATATTTAGATATTTATATTAATATTACAACTGAAAAATTAACTAAATCATGCAATTCATATATTATTTATATATTATTATATTAATTTAAATTTAAAATATATTTTTTTTAATTTTAAAATTATTTAATTCACATTAAATTTTAGGTAAAATATAAACTAAAATAAAAATTAATAGTTAAATATATAATATTTAATATATAAATATATATAAGATATACATATTTATATATAATCATTGGATATTGAATTATTAATAAAAAAAAAAGAAAAGAATAAAAAGAACCCTATGCACTTAGAGTTTAAGATAATAATTTATAGTCAGAATTAAAAGCAATTTTAAATGAATTTATGGCAGCACGCATTCCCTCAGAATACCCTATTCTTATACGCACACAGGGTATGCACGCCTCATCCATTTGTTTCTCTATCTCTTGCGATTCGTGTGTGATAAAAAAAGAATAAAATAGTCGAGCGTCTATAAACAAAACAATATAATTAGCATAATGCCAGTTGCCATTTGGCTGTCTATTTTCGACGCCGGCAAATCGAATTTTGATTGCGACCTGCCGTCGTTGCTGTGGGCGTGGCCAAAACGTAATTACCCAAAGCGAAGCAGAGCTGAAATAAAGCTAGAAGTTAGCTTTAAGCACAGTTATTGATTTCGCTAGCTAAAGATAGCGAATCTTTTGCTCAATTGAAATTGTTTCGCACTCAAACCCAAACCCGAGGCACATTCAATTAGCAGCAGCAGCTTGGCAGAGCAAAATGAAATTGAAAATTGCCAAATTGGCAAAATTAGCTATTAAATCGTTTGGCTCATCACTTTCCAAGACATTAAATAGCATGTTGAACGGCCGCTCTTCGGGCCATGTGGCCCCAAAAGAACTTTGCAACAGGGCAACAGCTGCCCTGAGTGAATTTTTAATAGTTGCTGGCAAAATATTAAATATGTATACTTGTAGTGACTGTGTAGCATAGTGTAGTTCACTTAAATCTGAAGTGACAGCAGAGAACAGCTGTGGGAACTAATTGATTGGCCAAAATAATACTTCAAAGGTTGCCAAAGTAATAACCATTAAATAGATTAATAAGGCAGAGAGAGAGAGAGAGAGAGAGAGAGAGGGGGGTAGAGAGAGTGTTTCATAGTCTGGCTTGTGCATAATCAATAAGCAATAGTGATTGAAGTGAGTGAGCATGGCGCATGGCCAGGAAGCCGAATGATATTTAATTGCAGCTCAAGTGGAAGAAATTCTTGCTGAATAATAACTGAGTGAAGTAGCTACGAGCTGCTGCAAAAGGATATATGTACGAACAAGCATGAACAAGGATGAAGAATGAATATATTTACTGAAATGACAGAGAAAGCAAGTAGTTGGAGAGAGAGAGAGAGAAAGCCTTGAACTTGAAGTGTATGATTGAAATTTTTAATGAAAATTAAAATGGGAGTATGCAAAAGAGCGAAATGAGAGTCAAAAGAAAACAGTAAAAATGAAAAGAGATTTTCAGATGCCTATTAGTAATGATGGTAAAGATGAAGAATTTTATGGAATTCGTAGGGTGCAAAATATTACTGAAAAATGGAAAGTTTAATGCAGTCTGAAAAGGAGCTGCCTTATATATATTATATTATTATTATATATATATTATATTATATAAAATGCAACATTAACATGAAACGTGGAGGCACATAAATATTTAATAATAATATTTATATATATGTTTTTATATAATAAAATATATTTCATCTACATAACATATGCATAATAAAAATGAGTATTAAAATTAAAAATGAGTACATAAATTAAAATCAAAACAACATTATAATTAATTACAAAACTCAATTAAAACTAACTGTACTTGCTGTCTATCAAAGCTAATTTATATAAATTCAAATTAACATAAACTATCAGGCAAAATCATATTTTCTCATTCAAATGAGTCTGTGCATATGGTATGTGCATGTGATTTATTATTTCAGTGCATCAAATGAATTTGTAGCAAATGCGAAATGAAATTAAATCAAAGCTGGCCATGATTTATGGCCAAACTAATAAAAGTGACTTTAATTTCAGTTAAATCAGAATTAATTCTGCATCTAATTCAGCCATTTAAGTGGCGCATTACAAGTGAAATCCGCTTTTAGTGTGCTCTTCTTCTTTTTTAATTTGTCCAACACTGGCTGACACTTGGCTTTAATTGCCCTCTCAAATAGAGAGTCGTTAAATTGTTGCCAAGTAACTGTGAAGCCGCTTAAACGGCTGTCTGGAAACTACTTGATTAAATAAGTAAGATTCTGCTAGAAAATTTACACATTTTATGTATACTTAAAATAAAATATATTTTAAAAATATATTTTAAAAAAATATATATAATTTTTAATATATTTAATTTGTATTCTACGTTGCCAGACAAGAAAACCAATACTAACATCTCCCTGGGCCATTCGAGACGCTCTAAAATGTCATTGTCCCTGGCTGCACTTTCGTTCATTCGTTGCTTGACCTTCTCAAAGGCAGAGCCAAGTCAATTGCTACGCATTTTGGCTTAAACTTCATTCATTCTGAGGTTTCTATTATTTTTTCACACATTCTGCACTTGGAAATGCATAAAAATAATTTTCCAAGTGGAATCGCTGACCTTTTGAATGGGCGAAACTTCGAGTGCCTCAGGCTACATTTTTCCACTGCTTTTATAGACCCCAAACTAAGTTTAATGGAATTTTGTATTATAACTGCATGTAAAAATTTTACACATTTAATTATTAATACATTAAATTATGCGTATTTTTTTATTACTTATTATTACATAGGCTTATATAAAATTAGCTTAAAAATCATGTAATATTTAGCGTGAGTAGAGCCATTTATATTTATGTCTTATACACTACATTAAATTTTACATGTCTTTGAATTTTGTATGTTCATAAATGTTTTATTTATTGTTGCTGTTTTTTTTATATATATTTTTTTGCACAAATAATATTGTTCATTACACGCGCGATTAAAGTCAATGAATGTTTACTGTTTTTTTCTTTTAATATTTTTGTGGGCCAACAAAAAATTGAAATCTTTAATTAATATTTTTTGTTGTCAGTCCGTAATTGCGGTTTTATTTTATTTTTGTCTTGTAATTTATGCAACTGCGTCGAGTGTGTGTATGTGTTTGTGAGTACTTTCTAAGCGAGCTACAATGTGGTTTATTCGTTTCATTTTATGTATATATGTTTATTTATTTTTTATTAAGACAAATGTTGACTTTATTTTTGCATAATTTATGGGTCCGCACACGTTCAATGAACTGCACTTGTTCTTGGCCATAAATTGAGGTATACAAATTAATTTTTAATTGCCAGAGAGCACATTTAATTTACGTTCGGTTGTTTTGCACTTCATTTATTTGAATTTTTTCTATATCAATTTAAATAAATATCTAATTGACACTTACGCCTCGGGGCAAATGCATTTTGACACGCTGAGCTTAACACCTTGTTGCCAGATTTGATTTTGATTATTATTATAGTTTTTAGTTTTTTCTGGAATTGTTTTGGTTTTTTTTTTTTTCAACTCTTTTTAATTGAGTAAACAACGCGCAGTTTTTTCGTCGGTTTTTGTTTTTCTTGCAGCGCTCCAGCAGCGTCTGTGGTAGAAATGGAATTGCATGGGCAAGTGGCGCTCGTCGCGGCTTAAATATGAAAAAAATCAAAGAAAAAAAAAATGATAAATTGGCGGGGTACAGTGAAACGTGCCACAGCACGAAACGCCAAACAAGTGAGAGTGCAAGCGAGTGTGAGCGAGCAGGCAATACAAAGTTGGAAGTGAAATAAAAACATAATCAAACACGCAGACAAACACATTAACACACACACGCACACATACTGCAAAACTTGACCAGCTTTTGCTGCTTAGTTAACGAATAGCAAACAGAGAGAGTGCGAAAGAGAGCTAGATAGAGCGAGAAGGATAGAAACATAGGGGCAAGATCGTGAGAGTGAGAAAGGCAGCGCTGCTCGGCTTAGCGTTTTTTTTTGTGTATTTGCAGAGCGCGACGACAGAGCGAACTTTGCAACGTTGCGGCAAGTGCTTCAAAGCGTGGCACAAACACTTTGCACTGCAGCAGCCGAGTCTGTCTAGACGACTCATAAGCGCGCTGCAAACAAGAAAATCAAGTGCAGGCATTAGACACAGGCAATAGAGGCACAGAGAGCTTAGCATTGACTTTAATGAATTTAGTTCGTGTTGAGCTTTAGGTTTTGATTCAACTTGAAGTGAAGTCTTGAGCAGCTGATGGAGTTGATGTGATCAGAGAGACAGTGCTTGCAGTGGAGCTCAAGTCAATCAAATTAAGCCAACTATAGCATATAAAACTAAATTAATTAACTATAGGTGAAGGCAGAAGGACTCAATGTTAAGAGTAAATAGGTTGGCAAGAGATTCGATGCGTTAAGGCATTGAGTTTAAATAGGGTAGCAAGGGAAGCATTGCCAGGGCTTGTAAGCTTATAGCATAGCTTAAGTAGAGCTTCCAGAGAGAAAATGCAATTTCACTAAAGCTTTAAGACAGTATGTTGACTTTAAGTAAAATATTATTAGGATATAAAACTGAAATTTATTTAAAGTAATGCTTTAAATAAAGCTATCAACCAGTATATTTATGTTTGTTATTATCTTATATTTATTTTAAATATTTATTTTAAATGTATAAATGAAAGAATTCGTTATTTTACTCATTAAACAACTTTTTAAGAATTATAAAAAACTTAAATTTAATTCCTGTCGCAAAAAAAAAAAAATATATATATATACATATATAATATATATATACATATATAATATATATATACATATATAATATATATATACATAATGAATCCTTAAAAATTGTCAAAATTGCTTTAATTATTTTTATAAAACTTAATTTAAATCATGCCCTAAGAAAAGTTCATAATAAATTTTTAAAAATTTTAAGTATTGCTTTGCTCATTTTCTTGTCTAAATAAATTATTAATTTAGCTTTAAGGTTTGTCAGCCTTTTTTTTAATACTTGAGACTTACTGCAAATATATTTCTTTTCTCTATTAAAATTCACAAATCTTTTTATGTTTTCAAAACTAGAGCTACAGACAATGAGCACATTTCAAAAAAAATATGACAAACATATTAAATCCCATTTAGCTATTCAATTGCTGCCAAAGTGCAAAGAAAGATCTAGATGCCACAGTTCAAACGACTTCAGCTTGCCCATAGGCCGTGGCAGCTTTTGTAGCGAGCGCTTGGCTCTTGACTGATAGTGAAAAGACAAAACTCATATAACAACAGTTGAAAACAACATTTAACAGCAACAATGCTTGCAACAACAGCAGCAACAACAACAGTGAAGGCACAACGCACAACGGCAATCACATTAGCAAGACAATCCGGCAATGAGTGCGAGGCGCACAGCAGAGAGCGCAATGGAAACCGCCTTCAAATACAAGCCAGCCGCATTGTGAAAAGCCGCCAAACCTGCACCACACTCTCAAGCCCCCAAGCCCCCCTCCCCCCGCAAAATTGAATGGGTGGGAGACGAGTGACGGCGCCAAAGTCAAAAGCGTAATTGAAGCTTGTGCCTCAGTTAAACGCTGGCGATTATGTCTGCTGGCTTTTCATGGTGAGCCGCAACGGCCGATAGCAACAACAACAACAACAACAACAGCAGCAACAGCAGCAACATCAGTTTGGCAGCAGGTTGAACCTGCCACAAGGATTATGCAGCCCCCGTAGCTGCTTCCTGGTTGCCTAAAAGCCCGAAACAACCGAAACTGTAACCGTAACGCCAGTAACCAGAAGGCCGTAAACGATAACCGCAAAACTAAAAGCTGAAAACTGAAACCGAGACACGAATCGCAATTGATTTGTTGTTGTTGTTGTTGTTGCTGTTGTTGCTGCCATTTGCTGCTCTTAACAAAGTCATCATAAATTGAGCTGTCTGGCGCGCTGAAATATGTCGCCAGCTGAGCATGTGAATGTTGTCGCCACGCCCCCTCTCCACGCCTAACTCGTGCAATTTAAATGTGCAACGAGCCAGCTACAACAATGGCAACAACAATTGCAGCAACTGCAACTGCAACAGTCATGATATTGCAATTGAGTTGATTGGCATTGCCGTTCTGGCCAACGGGCTAAGCCGTCTAATGCAGGAAGCGCCTTAGCAAAAATATTTTGTGTTACGCTTTAGGCCTAATTTGATAAGGTATTCGATCATTAAGTTCGGCTGTGAAAGGATTATTTATTGTTGCTTATCTAACAAATGCTTTTCGAATGATTGCAGAGAAAGCTTGCATCTTTCCAAAAGGGATCTTAGAAAATAGTTCATTAATTGCGACTTGATTGAGTTTTGTCTCAAGGGGCCAATCACTTATAACTTCTGCAATATTTATATTTGATATCTTTGCTAAGATTTCACTCATCATAATATTAAAATATATTATAAATAGTTAATAAAAATCAGATGCTTATAAATAAAAAACTGAACCATTGATTTATTTTTATTTTTATATTATTATAAATTATTATAATGGTTATATTATAATAATGGTAATTTAAATATAAAATATGAATTTTTAGATGGGGAGGACATAAAATGTTTTAAAAGTGCTTTTGGAGAATATAAAATTGGAAAAAAAATATATATATGATTCAAATATAAAATATAACTTAAAAAAATATATATATTAAGGAAAAGCAGCAAACTAAAATTTATATTAAATATAATTTGGTTATTCAGAAGAAAATATTAAAGAGAAGAACAAAAATTCTTTAAAGATAAAAAAAGATTTTTAAGAAATAAATATGAAAAATGTTGGAAAAAAAACAAAGATAAAATTTGGATTTTTCAGAAGAAAATGTTAAGCAAGAACAAAATATGAACAAAAATTATATATAAAGGAAAAAATATATAAATAAAAATTAGTAGATAAAAATATGAATATGGAATATTTATTTATTTATTCATTTATTTATTTATTTATTTATTGTTATAAAGAATTAATTCTAAATAAAAATTTTTTGTTAAGCCAGAGCGGCAAAGGCCTTCAGGCATAATATAGAATATATAAATATAGAATACATAAATATTGAATATTTATAGAAAATTAAAGTGAAAGATTGTTAAAAAAAAAAATAACAAAATTTTTGCTATGATTTTTAGCTTTGCTTTCTTTTAACAGAAATTAATAGAGCATTCTCTTTATATATTAATATAATAGTATAATTATTATAATTAAAACAACCATATGCTCTCGGCTCAATCACCTTGGCCTGAACTCCTTTTAATGAATAGCCATTTGCTTGCAATGAATATAATCTCGAGTTAATTTGTGGGCATTCATAAAGGCGGCTCATATGCAGTTAATGGAGCAACTATGTGTTTATGTGTTATCAACACGTGTTTTTTATTTTTCAGTAGCATTTTCCGGTTGGCCTCTTGCGTAACGGCAAACGCGGCTAACAGCTAGCAAACAAATGGCCAAAACGACACTTGCAGTTGGTCAGCGGCTCATCCGTTGGTTAACAGAAACATTTTCCGCAACTGGAAAACCGAGCACACAAAATACAAGAAATTAAATAACAAAGAAGAAGACGATGAAGAAGTGAGGCAAAGCAAAGCAAAGCAAAATAAAGTAAACTAAACCGTTTTCACTTTTCTATGCTCGTGACATAACAACTGAAATATATGTAATTACAGCAAGTATATATATTAACCGTATATATATATATATGTGTATGAATCTAGTTTTCTTTTGGTGATTTATTGGCCAGTCCAATTGGCCGGGCAATTAAAGCCGATGATATAATCGGACCAGTTGAGACACGCTCGACTCACAACAAAGTCAAAATTCCCAATGCTTGAGTAAACAAATTGCGACCGGTTCTCCAGTTAAGCGGGGGGGGGGGGGGGGCCCGGTTATACATTATAGCCGCACTGTGAGCCAAGTGTCAAAATAAGAAACTCATATTATTAATTGAAGCGATTGAACGGCACAGAGCGTTGCACCAACAAATCGTTTCTTGGCCGGGTCATTAGCAGCAAATTAAGTGAATGTGACAACGGGCTGCAACAACAATGGCAATAACAACAACAACAAAGCGAACAACAAACGGAAACGAGCTACATTTGCAACGAACTTGGCTGAAAGCCTTTCAATCAATCTCTATGTCAATATTTGTGCAATAAAAACTGGCCCAAGGCCAAAGGGACTCGCTCGCTCAATCAATTGGCCAAGCCATGTCGGGCCAGGCCAATTGGCTACTTCGTTAAGGCCACATTTGGCTAACCTGTTGGCCAAGCGGCGCCACAAAGAAATAATCCAAGACGTGGCCACAACGAAAGCCTTTCGCTTTTCAGCGAGGGTCGCATTGTGAGTTTTCCACTGAAAAGAACTTCATTTGAATTTCTGATTTAGTTTTAGGAAATTTACCTGAATTA